TTTTTTTTTTTTTTTCAATTTAACTCGCTCGTCAACTTGCTCTTTTATTTAAGTAAATTACGAACGTGTATTTAAATCAACAATCTGTTGTATTTCCAGTTGCTCCACATTGGCCAGGAAATGGCTTCCTGACAGTACAGTCAGTTGCGATCTCGGAGTCGATATCCAATCCAACGTGCTCACAGGTATTGGTCTTCTTAACTCTTCAATTTGTCCTGACCAAAGACAGAATTGGATATTATTCCAAGTTATATTTATCTCGATGGTTAATCTTTATGCTTTCCAGAAATTTAAAATCAGTTAATTTAACATTGAAGAAATTGTAATTTTTCTTTTTAGTTAGATAAAAGAAGCTTTCCCTTGATGAATATTATTATTTTGATGAATATTATTATTTATGATGAATAATATTATTATTTTATGAATATAATATTATTTTGATGACATTCTATCATTGATAACGTAATTCATGTGATAATTAATTATTTCATTTTTTCGCAAAATTTGGCGAACTTTAAAATATATCATATTGGATTCTACTTTTATTTTATTCATTTCTTACTTTATCGATGCATTCCACATTTTATCATTAACATCACCTACCTTGTGGCTGCACTGTGATAACGATAGATTTCGAGAGAATTGGGGGTGATGGGGACAACGTATTTTCTTGCATTTCTATATACTCGAAATTCTCTTTTTCTTTGTCAAGTGTACCTTGGATAATTAAATACGATTATTATTATTATAATGACAATCAATAATAATAATCAATCGAAAAAAAGTTACCAGTTAATGCTTTGGATGTGAAGGAATTAAGCTTATTGCCCTTCATTTCGCCTCGCGAGAGAGTGACGAGAATTCATCGTGTTCCTCAAAAATATATTAAGCAAAGTATTTTTTCACCTTTTTCTTTTTTATAATACAAAACTTTATCAAATTAATTAATTAATTTTAATATTTGAACAGCACGAGGGATTATACAAGATCGATCAATTGTGATTATTATCAACACAGTTGAGAGAGGTCTTTTGCGTAAGAAAAAAATACAATAGGAAATTTTTCTTGCTCCTTTGATCGAGTTGATGATGATGGAATAACTCGTCTTATAATCATTCGTGGATAATTCTATCGCGAATACTGCTAACGCTCGTTCGAACGTTTGGTAAATTTTATCATTGATAACCAATCGCTTATCGTTGTATATCGTGGATAAGTTATCGTTCTTCGTCGTTTCATATCCAATAATTCTTTCCTATCCCCCCTCCCCCTCCTACCGTGTCATTTCCAATTTTTTTTTCTCATTAATAAAATTAAAACATTCAACATTTCTGTTGATGATTGTTCGAAAAATTAAAAATTTTAAATTTTATTCTTCACGAATCCGTGATAAATTTAATTCAATCGATCGTTTTGTTCGTAATTGACTAGCAGTAGCGTCAACGTTTTCGAAAATCTTTCAAATTGGTGATATTGGATTTTCTTTAAATACAATCCTATATTGATATGATGTGCAATTATTTTTTTCTTTTTTTTAACTGGAATTTTTTCCCTCTCAGGAAGAATAAGAAAAAAAAAGTTCCAAAAAGTCAATAGTTAAAAATAAATAATAAGCAATCCTTTAAAAAGCAATTATTTTAAGCAATTAATTTAAAATATTCTATTCTTCTTTTTTTTTTCTTTTTTTCATTTTTCAAGAATCGAACAAGTAAAGGGAAAATTCTTGTCTGAAAACGATTCAATAAATATTCCAATATTCGTAATTTAATTTTCGTAATTTTTTTTTCAAGGAACGATCCATGGATTTTCAACCATCGCAAGAATCTGGAAATTGAATTAAATTCCCCGAGTTGAGTTGTCCGAGAAATTTAAGAATTCTCATTCTTCCTTCCCTCGAAAGGGAAGCGTGCCTCGAACGAGGAAGTTGACGGATCCTTAAGTCGGAGGCCATCATCCATCTGCCTTCGAGAAATGGAAACGAGTCGGGGAGGTCCGTTTAACCACACAAGATCCCATCGAGTTGGCAAGGCACGCGTGTCCATAATTTTCCACCTCGCCGTGCTTTCTCCCAGTCACACCCCACACGCCTTTACTTGTTGCTGCCCCATGCTAATTCCATGCGCGTTTCTATCGATCCCGGCCACCCTTGTATAAAAGGCCGCGTCATCGTCGTAATCATGAAAGAACAGATCGGCAGATATCCATGCGACCCGTGGAGGAATCACGTCAACGTGGTGAGAACGCTGTGGACGAAGGTTGAACACAATTAAAATAAATAGGATACAAGTTGGCTCGTGTTCGAATGAATAATTAAGGAAGCAAGTAAGTCATTGAAAAAAAAAAAGAAAGAAAGAAAGAAATAATAACGATATCGCTGCGATATTCTTTTTTTTTTTTTTTCTTTAATCTTAATTCTTAAATTGCATACGCAAATTGACTTGACAAATTGCTTAATCTTTCTTCTTTAACTTTTCGATTTGTTATTTAATAATTGAGCAATCGACGATAATTAAGTAACGAAAATTAGATGAGTTTGAATTTTTCAATTTTTTTTTTTTTTTCTTACGACTCGTTGATAAATTTAATGAATTGTTTTTCGCATTCTTAATTTTTTTTTTAATAATAAAAACGATAAAATTATGCTTTATATAACTTTTTGCTTATATTGCTTTTTCTCTCGAGAGAAATTAATATCGACAACTCGAGGCTAGCCTCACCATCTGTTACAGTCATGACGTATATAAATGATCAGCAGATAACCATTGACCGTGACGAGAAGTTTTTGTGTTGAAGATGAATGAATATCTTACTATAGAAAAAAAGTATAAAAGAGTATAGAAAAAAAAATTATTATTAAATGAAATTTATTTTTTAGATTATTAATTTATTTTTAGAACAGAGATAACGAAATTGAAGAGGCTTCCGATAAGGAATTTCAATTTTTAAATATTCAACATTATTTCTATATTCAAATACATATTTATATATTACATACATTTCCATTTGTTAATCATAATCAATGCACAGTAATTTATTATTCATTCTGTTCTTTTAAAATTTATAAATTAAATTGTTACTTAATATAATAAAATATTGAAATGCGTAAATATATAAAAATTAAGAAAGAATGCGTAAAGCTAAATATTAATGAAATTTCGCGACTGAAACTGATTGTATGCGTGGAAAGTTTATCGATCTAATGGCGACGAACAACAAAGGAAAACAAGTTTTCGTTAAAATTAAAACTTTAATCTTTCCGTTTTTTGAACACGTCATCCTTGAAATTATTATTGAAAGAATGAAAAATTTTTTCACAATAACGGAAAATAACTTCAATAACGACGATATATCATTTTAGTCATGTACAAATCATATATTCTGTATTCTTCGTTACAATTTAAAATTTTCGAGTTATTTTTCGATTTATCGCGTATTTCGTACATATATCGCATAAAATGATAATAGAGAAGACGCGATAATTATCGAATGTCTCGATTACTTGCAGCTATGATCGATCGGATAAAGCGATCCCTGTTGCATCATCAGCTTTCGCTACTACGTCTTCAGTTAACGGATTTCGCTGACCTTTTTCAAGGAATCGATTTAAAGCTGATTAAATGAAACTCCAACGTGTTTTCCCGTCTCGATTATTTTTGCCAATGCCCTTAATCTCAATATTAATTTTCTCCATCAAATATATTCTCTCGAGATTACTCGTATCGTAGTTGACGAGATAATAAAAATGTACGATGTAGTCGTATTAATTAAGCGATAATTACAAATATGAAAAAAGAAAAAAAATATATATATATATATATAATTTGGATAAATTATTATATTTTTAAAGGGGAAATGTTATCGCAAGAATGGATATTGGTGTTTTTAATTACGGGATCAGCGACAGCAATGGTGCCCGTGCCCGTCCATCATATGACGGACGAGTTGTTGAGAAGCTCTCCAGATACTGTTATTAGGAAACAACGATCCTTGGATACGAATCCGCAAGGATATTACAATGATCTTCGTTCGTTTAAATATCACGGAGGAGAGGGAGAGAGAAAGCTCGATAGGGAGTATCAAGGAGAAAGGGAAATGGGAGAGGAAGACGAGGAAATAGAATTCTTGCCTAGTGGTATGTAATGATTCGTGTGATAATTTTAAAAAGAATAATAATTTCGAAAGAAGAATTTTTTTTCCAGAAACTGGACAATTAGAGACTGTAGGGAACGGTTTCCAATTGAACAATAAACTACTCGAAAGGGCGTTGATCGATTATCTAGAAAGCATTCCGCAACAGGTATTCCTTTTTTCCCCCTCTTTTTTTTTTTTTCTTTTTTCTTCGATATATATATATATATTTGAATTGTTCAGGAAGAGCAAGTCCCATCGCTGTTCCGAGAACGTGAACGAAGCTCCAGTCGTAAGAGAGATTTTAATTCTGATCGATTAAACATCGATAATAAAGAGCTGACGAAATTGCTGCTGGAGGAGTTGCAGGATGGTTCTCCGTATAATCTTGCAGACTTGGATGACGAAGGATACGTGGACGTTCGTCAGATGCTTTATGATCGATATAGGGGCGATCGAGGCAATAAAATATACGAGTTAGTGATCTATGATTAATAATTTTTTTTTATAAAGAAAAAAGGAAAGAAATATTTTGTACATTTTTTTAAAATGTAATATGAAATATTATAAACGTATAATTATTTCAACGATAATGAAATAAATACGTTAAACGATTTGTAGTAGGAATTCAGGTCCAATGTCCTGGGGAGCATTGTTAAACAAAGAATCGACGATTCGACAGGGTAGAATATCCGACGAAAATGAATTCAACGATCGGGAGCAAGATCCAAATCTGTTGTACCTATCTATGGAAGAACAAAGAAACATGAATGGTGGGTATCCTACAGAACGATCTATGAGGACTTATAGAAATACGGCTAAACGTTATTTCGTGGCCAAAAGGAGCCCGAAAGCTATGCCTACCAAGAAAGAAATTACCGATCCTAAGGTAATTAATCGATTGTACAAATTAATGAAGTATTTTAATATATTATCGCACATTTTAATGCGAAAATAAATTTATTTTTTCAAGGTTGCTCAAGATTTAGGAGCATTATTTGGCACCCAATCTGTGAATAATCAAAATCATACGCATAACTACAAGAATCACGATCATGAACACAATCACGATCTCGATCATGATCACAATCACGATCACGAGCACGATCATGAGCACGATCATAGAGATCAGCATAAACACGAGAATTCTTCAGAAGCGCCAAAAGTGATGTTGCCGTTAAAAGGGCAAAAAGAGAATGTAACAAAGTTAAATAAATCGAAGTCTATTGAAGTCAGGAAGAAGAGCGTCAATTGGTCTCAATATTTTGGTATTGATAAAAGAAGGAAAAAGGCTGCATTAATGGCTGGACAAGGAACTCAGAATCAAGATGATGAATGGATGTTGCAGCGATATTATGAAGTAATTATCTCATTTATTTGTTTTTTTATAATATGATAAATTAAAGTAATTGTTATTATGTAATAATTATTTATTTTTCTCGATGATGAGTTGCATTTACATAAATGATTTATGCATTGATTAAATATCTTTAAAAAAAAATCTTTTTCTACTTATAAATACAATCTGCGATAGTTGAATTAATTATGCATTTGTCAGAATATGGTGGAAAATCTGAGACCGAACGAACGAGATTACGAAAAGGAAACTAACGAAGGGAAAGATAAATTGAATCAATTGGATTCGAGACAAAAAAACATTAAAGACTTGATTCTCGAGGAAGCTATGAGATATGGAAATTCCGAGGATGATATAGATATGCAAAAGGTAATATATTCAAAGAAATTAATCAATGCTCATAATAATTAACATTATAATGTTTTATCATTTTTATTTAAATTAAAAAAAAATAGGTAAAAGATAAGGTAATGGCTCGTATGGCTGCTGCGTATTCTTTTGAGAAAATGAGAAAAGCTCTAAACGATCTCAGAAACAATGTTGCGGCTAGAATAGAGGCTCAAAAGGCGATCTATGCACAGAATAATCAATCCTCTAACTTTCGAGAAAATAGTAATATTCCTAAAACCAAAGACAAACGCATTAACAATTTAATCGAAACTGAAGGTATAAATTCAATTAAAAATATCATCGTTTGTGTGTCTATTTCTTAATTTTAAAAAATTTCAAACTGTATTAAAATTCTGTGAAAGGTATGGAAGAAAATAGAGCTTGCCCTGAGCTAAAAATGATTGAAAAACGATGCAGAGTTGTAGATACTTTAGGTGGAGATGAATTACAAATACTCTATCTTCCTTGTGTTATGCTTCAAATCTGCAAAGCTTGTGTAAGTATACATATACTTACATATACATTTCAAATCTTTATACTTTTATCAAAACTGGAAAAATATCATAAATTGTATATCTTTAATTCGCTAATTGTTTGAAAAGTTCGTCGATTAATCTACAAATAATGATAAAATATTTTAAATATTTAAATAAATTAGTAGTATATGATAAACCAATAATCTTTGGGTAATAAAAACCAATAATTTTTAGGTACAAAATGATCTAGAAGAGGAATGTTTAGGTAACTATGCAATGGAAGCGGGAAAAATCTGTGATGCTCAAGAAATAAGAGAAGGACCAAAGAGTAGAGAAGCTTGTGCTAGTACAGCTTTGGTATTATCGCAATTACAAACACCAACAGCGATTTCCGATCAATGTCGTCTCGATGGAAACAATTCTTGTTTACGACGATATCATTATCGTTATTGGCATCGTTATCTTAATTATCCTTATAGTGGACGACGATTGCATATAGGTTATGATACAATTAGTCCTCAACAATCGGATTGATAAAAAACGGAATGATAAAGTTTAAGTGATACAGCATCTATAATACATCGAGAATGCTTTATCGAGAAATGTGTTTGGCTCTCCAACAGATCAGTGACCTCGAATCGAGCTTCATTTTTTTTTTATCAACTTTCAATATTTCGTTCATTTTGTTTGCAATTAAAAATAGTATAGTAAGATCTAGATAATAAGATTAGGATACTCAAAATAATATATTATTTAATAATAGGATACAAGTTATGTTAACTGTTGTTGAAAGAGTATTTTGACTTCAGACAAAAAAAATCAAGAAGTCGAGTAATATTTTCAAGTCGATTCGAGAACACGACGATAAAAATGATTATAGTGTTTGTGTGTATAATTATATATTCCGATATCATTTCATAACAAAAAGAAAGGAGAGACGGTTAAATTTCAAGTTGAAAGAATGTTATCTTTGCGAGGTGTTTTTTATTTTGATAATAAATGCAACAACAAACAATAAGGGACAATAACTTTCGACAGAAATTTTATTATTTTTTACATAATTTATTTTTAAACATAAAATTATTTACTTGTGTTTCTTTTAAAAAAGAAAAATTTGAATAAAGTCATGAGTATGATCATAAGAATTATTTTATTAATAAATATAGAAATCAAAAAATCATGTTTTAAACTCATAAAGAAAATAAAAAATTCGAATGAATGAATGCCTCGCAAAAAACAAAAAGAATTAATTGTGTAATAAAATATATCAAAACTGTCATTAAATATCGAAAAGCATAATACACGATTATAATAGATAATTTCTAACAATATTCTCGTATTCGCAAAATAAAAAAATTCATTTTTCTTATTTTATTTTATTTAAATACATTTATATTTTAATTCTTTCAAATGATGCAATATAATAACATGATTTTTTTTCTATTGTAGAATATTTTCCATCATAAAATATAATCGATATTAAAGTGAAATATTTAATGAAATTTAAAAAAAAATATATAATTTTATTACAATATAAATTTATATTGCATCCGATAAAAAATATCTATTGTCTGTCTTTATGTTATATAAATCATGAATACATTCTATGTGTCAATCCTATATTCGAATATAATAAATATATTTCAACATAATTGTATTTTATATTGTTTATTGAAAATTAATACAATAATACATTTATATTATAATATTTTTAATGATAAGTTATGATTTATCTAAATTGATATTCGTGTCTGTTATTTGTTTGAGCGATTCAAGAATTTCAAGGCATTCTGGAGTATATAACTTTAAAAACTCTAGTTGCAATTGAGCACATTCCGCTACAAATAACAGAATATTAAAAATAGTTTTTTATTATATAAAATGATTATATTAGAATATACCTCTCCATTTTGAAACTATTTCTAATTTCTTTTTTAATTCCAAATTTAATTTATTGATATCAAGAATAATATTTAGATTACAATCTGACATTATTTCAAAAATGAAAATATTTAAAATATTTAATTAATTTTCTATCTTTATTTAATTGTATGTTCTGAATTATCAAAAATAATATATTTAAGAAAAATTCGTATCTTTTCCGTTATTTTAATATTGTAATAAGAACTATAGAAAAGAATTCCATAAAATTCGATACCAGCGCATTCTACATCTAATGCGCAAATGAAAATGCGCAAAATAATTCCCGTTAGAGGACGTAATATAGAAAGTAAACAAAAATTTATTAAATATATAAAGAGCAATTTGAAAAAATATTTACTAAAAATATTAAAACAATAAATCAAAAAGATATTACAAATATACTAATGTTGCCAAGAATTCATTATTCAACAAATTATATTGTGAAACTTCTCTTCCCATAATATAAAGTTGTTATATGATATATTATACATTTTGATTGGTTGAAGAAAAACTTGTCCACAAATAATAACGCTATGTTATGTTGCTTATACAAAACGATGTGATTGGAGGAGTAATAAATATCGTTTGTTACCTTACTGGAATTGTGTATATCTAGAATTACATAATCTATGATTACTAAAAGTGGCGATGGCGTTTTATGGCCTGTATTGCTTTGTGATTAAAAAGTGGAGTTTTCGTAATATTTTCTATGGGAGACCGATTTATTAATGTAATTCTCAATATTAATAATAAACAAAGACGCACGACGACGACGAGTAAGAGATACGAAATTAGAAAGGAAACCTGTAAAAGTGGTGAGCAGAACAAATACATGAACTCCCGCTTTCAAGGGCCGGCGAACATATTTATCTCCGGCAATAGATGTAATATTTTAACAAAGAGATACAAATAGTTCAATTCAGAAAATACGCCTCATTGTGTACAGTCAATCGTAGTACGTTTCATTTTCTATAACATGAGATTTTTGATCAATTTTCGCGATCACATGACGTTCCCGCCGTAACCTTCCATACTTGTTGTAAACACCGTATCGATATATAGGGTGTCCTTGAATTTCGTTTCTTTTTATATAATTTATCCTAATTTTTATAAATTATTAATGTAAACTAATTTATGTTTTAAAAATATATAAAGATTATATGAAAAAATTTAATATTTCTTAACTAATATGTTCACAATTTCAGCATTTTGATAAAAAAGATTAAAAGATGTCAGAAACAGAAAAAAAAGAAGACTGTGCAATGGAAAACCAGGATACATGTCCTGAAAATTTAGAGAGAAGCAAATCAAGTTTGGCATGTAGCGAAATCAATAGTTTAAACGAGAGTCAGGATTTTCATTTAATAGATACAAGTGAAGATGAATCATTAGATAAATCACATCAAGATTTAGAAAAAATAAAACAGGAAGAAGCATTATCTTCTATTTCTAATGTTAATACAGAGATAATTCTGAATGAAATAAAAATAACAGAGCATACAATAAATGATGTACAGAATAATGAATCTATAACAATAGAAAATGCACAAAATATTGAACTTATAAAAGAAAAAGATACACAGAATATAGAATCATCTAAAAAAATGGAGCAAGAAAAGAAAATTATAGAAAGTAGCATTTTAGAAAATAAAGATAAGTATTCTGAAGAAGATGAAGAAATAATACAGTGCACACCACCTATTTCTACTTCACCATCTAAAAAACAATGTAGTGATAATATAATTACAAGTTTAAAACGAAAAGGAGAATTATTTGATGAACCTCCTGCAAAAATTTTGAAAACAGCATCCAAGGAAGATATATTAGTACCTGAAAAAAGAGAGCAAGAAGAAGAAGAAAGTTGTCATTCATTTAAATCTGATAATTCTCAACAAGAATTCCATAAAAATTGTTCTGGTACAAATATTATAATTGCAGAAACTCAAGACATTGGAGAAGATGAAGATACGGAAAGCATTTCTTTGTTAGAAATGCCAACAAAATATAAAGAAAAAACTAAAAATGAAAAATATCTTGAATTAGAAATGAAAGATTATGAAATTGATAAGAATAAAAATTTTAGCGATACATCAAAACTACATCAACCTACTGGGAAAAAAGAATTTAATGATGAAATATCTGATTTAAAAAATATAATTAATTCTAATGAAAATAGATTAACACAGATTCAAACAAAAGAAAAAGATGCTCCATCTTTACTTAAAGTTATTGCAATTGAAAAGATAAAATCGGATTTGGATAATAAAAATACAGATAATACTAGATCAATTGAAGTAAAAGATAATAAAATATTATATAACGAAAAAACCGAAGATAAGGAAAATGGTATTGAACCTATACAACATACTAGTTTGGAACAAAATAATAGTGATATTCAAGAAATATCAGTTTCTAAAGAAATTAGCGAATCACACACTAATACATGTTCTTCAAATATATGCAAATCAAGGAAGAGCATAGAACTTATATATGATCAAACTGCAATTCATGAAATTAAGTTAAAATCTAAAGAACTAGTAGAAATCGATGAAGATGGTGAAAAAATTGTGCTAGATTCATCTCAAGAAGATTCTGATGCAAAAGTTGAAAATAAAAATATTTTAGATAACACAAAGTCTGATACAGTATACAAAAGTTGTTATGACAGCAAAAGTAGTAGCGAATTTAGTTATAAATCAATAGAAAATACCAAAGAACCATCCCTTGATTCAGCTAAATCTGATAGTAAATTAGTAAATGGAAGTAGTGAATCAAAAAAGTGTGATACTGATAGCACAGCTAGTTTACAATCAGACACGTTTAGCGATATGCCGGTTCTTGATAAAGTAGATAACAATATTCCTATATCCGTGCATAATATAAATAAACAAATCAAACCAATCACCATATCTAAAGACGGTTATCACGCTGATTTATTAAGTGTAAGTGACAATGAACCTGACGTTTTTATAGTAGATGATAAAAGTAAGTCAAATTCGACTCACAGTAGTTCTATTACAAAAGCTTTGCAAATAGAAAAAGAAATTGGTATATATGTTAGAATGAAATGTTTATTACATATTGACGAAGGTACAAAAGAATTCCTAAGTAAAGAAATCACTAGTGTGCAATGTGAAACTATTGTTGGAGAGCCCACTATAACAAGACAAAAAACCAATGATACATCTACTTCATTAGCAGATATTTCTGGAAATGATAATAAAGATACATCTCCAGGATCAGTAAATAGTAATCCGCAATTATATCAATTGAATCCTTCCAGACTTTCATTTGCATCAACAATTAGTTCTTTAAGTTCTGCATCTAGTGCTGCTTCACTGGCAGCCAAACTAGCAATAAGAGATAGTACACATTTCTCTTTACCAAGAGCACCAATAAAGCATGTAAAAAGACATGTTCAAGATATGCATTCACTAAATGATAAACAAGCAATAGAAGAAGCATATGAACGTCTTAATAAAGAATGGCAAAATAGTCATCTTCTTACAACAACTGTTTTAAATTTTGCAAATACTGAACTTAGTGGAACTGATGCATATAATGTTAGTAACGAGAGGATAGATGATCAATTACAAAAAATTCGATCGTCTACTCCAGAAGTTTCACAAGAAGTAATATCGATACAAACTCCTAAAAGCACAAAAAAGAGTAAAGCAGTAAAGAGATCAAGAAGTAAAAGTACTAAATCAGATAATCATTCAAATGGAATAAATAAGATTTCAAAAGTATTAAGTCCTACAGAGAACAACAATACACCAAATAGAAAAAAGAATAAAACGGAACATACGGACAATTCGTCGAATACTGTAGATGTTTCAACAAAACCTCAACCACATATAATAACAGACGAGTTAATTGGTAAAAATGTATTTGCTAAATGGTCTGATAATAATTACTATCCAGGTATAGTTATTGATAAAATAAAAACAAAATATAAAGTAAACTTTTTTGATGGAAAAAGTAAAGTACTTATAGAAGACTTTGTTATACCAATACCAAAAGTTCTGAAAGAAGGTTTATCTGTATATGCTGCTACTAAAAATTATGATTACGGATCGTGTGGTATAATAACTGATATTGTAACTGTAAATAACGAAGTATATTATATAGTAGAAACAGATGAAGGAGAAAAATTACGAGTTCAAATCAAAGATATTTCTTTTTCTGCTGATCAAGCTCAAGTATTAAAAGAAGAAATTAATTTGGAGAACAAGAGTCTTCCATCTACGCCAAAATATTTAGGTCAAATAACATTAGATAACATGGTTGATGGAAAAAGACGTTCTAAACGGATTGCTACTCCCATTTTTTCTACTCCTAAATCTAAATTAATCCATACCCCTACAAATAAATCTGAAATAGAACCATCTGTTTCTGGTATAACTTCTATAAGCAAAAAAGAAAAGAAAGCATCCTCTGAAAGTGATTATGTTTCCAGTGATTCGAATATTTCTATAAAGGATGAAGTTTTTTCTATTGGCGTCCAATCTGAAATAATTGGAACTCCATATGAACAAATTGTGAAAGGGCCACAAAGTCGAATCAAAAGTAAATCAAGGAGTAAAAAAAAAGTGGATGACGAAGAAACTATTGCGATATTTGGTCCAATTCCACATGAAGATTTAAATCTCTTTAAAGGCATGTCTTTTATTCTCACTTGTGCATCCTTAGAAATTATTGATCGATTTCAAGATAATAACAAGGACTATGGTTCGGATGCAGAATTGGGTTCTGGAACTGAAAATGAAGAAGAATGGGCAAAAAAACCTTTCATAAGAGATAGATTAATCAAACAAATAGTGGCGGGTGGCGGAAAAGTTTATACAGAATTTAATGAAATTCCTCAGGATGAGTACAAAAATACAAAACTGATAACAAATGTGCCAAATACAACTGCAAAGACTCTCTTGTGTCTTTCAGTTGGTATACCCGCTTATAATCATAATTGGATAATAAGATGTTGTCAAGAGGTAAATATTATTATAATATATATTTATATAATACATACATAATATATAATATATACAATTATAATATATATTTATACACACAAATCTATAATTTTATAATTTTATATCTTATATGTTATAACGTTATTTTTATAGGGAAAACTTGTAAATCTAGCTGAAGATGAATTACCTTCAGGATGGAGTTTGGAAAAAAATTCATATGTTGAAATGTTTCAAAGATCCAGTAATAAACCATTGGCTCAAGTTGTGATAATAATTCCATTTCTAGAGTCTCAAAAACAATTTGCTACATTTTGGCGTCAAGTTTGTGAAAATACAGGTGCTGTTGTTTTATTAGCAGAAAAACCAGGTATGAAAAATTTTATGTAATAGAAATTTGATAATTAAAAAAATTAACATTAATATTGAATAAAAGTTTTTGACAATTTTTAGATGCAATGGAAAGTTTTGTACAGGGAACTATAGTTCTTACAAACAGTTTATGTCCATTTTGGGCAATAGAAAAAGCTAATAAATTACAAATTCCATTACTTTCCACAACATGGATTGTTCAATGTTTAATAGAAGGAAAATTATGCTCCTATGATGCAAGTCCTCGTTATAAATATAATTATAAACAAAATTAAATATATTCAATAATTGAGAAATTATAACTATAATTTCGAAAGCAGGTGAGATCCTGTCTTTGTAAATTATAAAAATCTTTTACTTTTATTGTATCATTCTAGATATATTTGATAAATTGAGAACATTATTTTTGTCTTTGGACAACTATAAAGCACATCTATTTGTTTATGCACTCATAAAACGTTAAAGTACTAATACTTTAAAACTATTTTAATAGTTTGTCTACAATATCAAAATCTATTTTTGATAAGTATCTGAAAAAATTATGTTGCAATTATGATTATGATTATCTGATGTCTTTTGCATCATGGTCGTACAAAAAATCTTGTCAACTTATAAAAGAACGTCTATTTAAAGAATTGTCTTGTGAAATGAATAGAAAAGTACAAAACAATGATGCTTGCATTTGTTTATGTTAAATGTAACATAAGAACTCTGCTTGCAAAGAAATCTCTTAAAAAATTAGAGGAAATAAAAACGATCAACTCGTAAAACAAAATTATGACCAGGATGCAAAGCAAATTAATTTATATTGAAAATGTCAAAATGTGTTTTACGTAGTAATATTTGACTGTAAGAATATCTGGTGTAAAGATTTTTTTTGTGATTATTCATTATGCATAACTTACATATGCTTATTACACACCATATTGTTTACTATTAAAAAAAAAATCGTAGCAGTAGAATTTTGTAATATTTTGTATAAATCAAATTCTAAATCAAAAATCACTTTTGTAAAAAAAAAGGGAGAAACAAAAAAAACAAATGAATTATAAAAAAATAAATTTTAAAGACATTTCATGATTCTTAATCGCAATTTATGCGATTCAATATTATTTCATTTATGTTATTATTATTGAATAAGTTTTTTAATACAGACCAAATAAGAAAATATAATTTTATCATATTGTTTTAAATATCATTTTTACAAAAGATTGAAAAAAAAATATAAAAATATAAAAATTAGAAATCTAATAATAATTCATATTTACAATAATGTTGTAAATAACTTGGTGCATTGCTTTTTTCATATTAGCATATTTACAATAATACATTTAATTATATTTATAAGAATTATTATTACATTTCGAGAATAAATTTTTTTTTACATTTAATTAATAATTAAATAATTGTTATTCGTTTATAAAAAGAAAGAAAAAATTTATGCTATCAAAAAAATAGGCAATTTGCTATGAGAATCTTTCTTTTATTAAGATTATAATTCTAATTTGTGTTTGGCTATTTATGTTTGATTTGGCTGTTACTTATCCAAATTATTATTGTATACAACTAATATTAAAATTACTCTGTAAATCAAAAATAATAATGGATGGTATATCCTGTAAATATTTTTTTACATAAAATTATAAGTAATAAATCAAATATATTTACATTACACTTTTTATGTACTGGATATATATACCATATAAGAAACTTTAATCATTTATTCATGATAGATATAAGTTCAAAAAAAGAAGAAATATCAAGCGAGTTGCCTCTAAATACTTCATATTAAGATAGCATTAATAATTTTTAAGCAATGGAAGATATAAGAGAATGTATCTTATATACATTTATGACAGTTTCATTAATTTACAGAATGATTTTCTGTTAAACCAAATATTAACAAGACAACAAAAATTGTACATGGCTATTGCACATGTGCAAATATGTATATATAAATAAATATATACATATACTATAAATTTTATTATATAAGATGTAGCTGTTATGTAAAATGTTTGGGGATAAAATACAATGACATATTTTGGCAAATGTTTTGTTCATTGTCATTTACAGAATAACAGAGTGTACAAGTGTTATATCAATATTTTACATATAATACAACATTCTTCAGATGTTTGTACAAAGAAAATGTAATAAAATAATATACCTCTTTATTTTATGGATTATACCAATCAAGAAACAATAGAGAAAAAGACATAACTAAAAGAAAAAAAAGAATCCACACTCTGAGTCCTGCATTTCTCTGAATTGCTTGTCTAATTTGCTCATTAGCTTCTTTCACGTTTTCTGTCGATCCAACAACCGTTGTCATTAAACGATCTAAATCTTTATCTTGATCTAATACTTTTTCTGTGAATATTTCTTGAAGTTCAGCTATGTGTACAACTTTACTTTCTATATGTCTCACTTCTTCTGTTAATGTATTAAGTTCATTATATAATTGTTCATTTTCTGCCTCAAATACTTGTATATCTTCAGGTGATATTTCTTCTTCATATATTAATGTATTTACATCCCCATTTATTTCTTGTATTTTCATAGGGCTTGAGTCATCAGAATTAATTTTATTTTCTTTGTCTTCAGTTTTTTCATTTGTGTTTGAACTGGATTTTATTTTATGCTCTAATTCTTTAATTGGTTTTTTTTCCAGTTCTAATTTGGCAATTTTTCTTATTTCCATTGCTCTTTTTACTCGTATTGCTTTTTGTTCTGAATAAATTTTGCAAACATTCTTCAAATAATCTTCAATTAACAATAACATAATTTCTCTATGTTCCAAATTTTGTGGAGAAACTTCAGAACTTGCTATCTCTCTTTTTAATTCTTTGATTAACTGGGAACAAGTAGTCATTATTTTTTGTGCACCAACATCAATTTTATCACGATCAGCATCTGTCATACTTGGTATATTTGACATGTAGTTAGAAAAATTTAAATATGCTTTTCGATTTTCCAACAAAAATTCGCGTAATTTTGAAATTTGTGCAACAACACCTTGAACTTTTATAAAAAAGGCACTTTTATTTTTTGCCTTTTTTATATTTCGTGTATTATCAATAATACCTAAAGCTTTATTACGAAGACTAATAGTTTTTACACTTGCTTTAAATAATGTACTAACATCCATTTTTATTTGCCGTTAAAATTAATTTTTTTTACACAATTTTTAGTAAAAAAGAAGGCACCTTATTTTATGCTTACTTAGCAACTTATTGTATTCAATAAATTAAGAAGCCAAAATTTAAAATAAAATACAATTATAAAGAATGGGTATGTATAATATTTCACGAAATACATATAAGAAAAATTCGCCATTTCAAATAAATTTTTTATCAAACTTTAAGATATTCATCATACGGTATTATAAATTATTACAATGCTTAACCTAAAAATAAGAAAAAAAAATTATTATACGTTAAATTATTTTAATAATTGAAAAAATATACCATGATAAATAAATTAATATGTATATATAAAATTGTAATAATTTTTATTATAACTATATTATTTATTAATTCAATATCTATAAAAATTGTCAAACTATTACTTTTAAAATAAAAATTTTTATCATTTATGAAATTTTATATAAAATATAAAATATATTACATTTATATTTTATACATTTTTACTATTTCTGACAGTGCACATTTAAATAATATATATATATATAATAAACATAAAATATAAAATCTTACTATAGTATATGAAATTTAGAATATTTCTAGAATCAAAAAACGTATATTTATATGAAGTCGAATAAATGAAAAAAGAATTAATTTTAGAATTTTAAAATATAATAAAATATAAATTGAAAAAATATATAAATCAAATTATTTTTATGCAATCAAATAATTGATATTGCAATGTACAATTTTTGAAAACCGGAACATATAATTGAATGAAATACTACTACCGAAATGACAAGATGGCACGTCAGCAGCAAGCAGACGTTGATGAACTTTTCGACGTAAAAAATCATTTCTATATTGGCAATTATCAACAATGTATCAACGAAGCACAAAAAATCAAGGTTTGTAATCATAGAATATGTTTTTTTTAAATGTTACCTTTTTCTCTTATACAAAAAATATTTTTTTCTATATCAAAACAAATTATTTTATTGTCACGATATATTAATTTAATTTTTATCTATATTAATATTAAAAATAATTTCTTAATTATTTAAAGTAAAATATTAATGTTATTTTATATTACTATAGTCATCTTCACCAGAAGTAATAATGGAACGAGATGTATTTCTCTATCGTGCATATATAGCACAAAGAAAATTCCGTGTTGTGCTAGATGAAATTAATAATTCTTCTCCTCCTGATTTACAACCATTGAAGATGTTGGCAGACTATTTTGCGAATCCATGTCGCAGAGAAGCGATTGTCGCAGAATTGCAACAAGCGACCAATCGCACTAATTATGATAATCACAATTTTCTGATCGTTGCTGCAACTATCTATTATCATGAAAAAAACTTAGAAGCAGCACTTAGGATACTTCGTAATGTAGATCATCTAGAATGTTTAGCCTTAACTCTGCAAATTTATTTAAAAATGGATCGATTGGATCTTGCAAAAAAAGAATTAGTTACTATGCAGGAGAAAGATGATGATGCTACTCTAACTCAGTTGGCACAAGCATGGTTAAACATAAGCAGTGGTGGAGATAAGTTACAAGATGCTTACTATATATTTCAAGTAAAATTATATTTATTATATATGTTTAGTTTAAAGATAATTTATTATAATATATTATTATATAATTTTAGGATATGATAGATAAACATTCCAGTACAAGTATGTTATTAAATGGTCAAGCTACTTGTTTTATTGGACAAGCTAAATATGAAGAAGCTGAAACAGCTTTGCAAGAATCTTTGGATAAAGATAGTAATAATCCAGATACTTTAATCAATATGATTGTACTTTCTCAGCATATGGGAAAACCACCTGAAGTTGCTAATCGTTATTTAAGTCAATTGAAGGATTCACATTTGGAACATCCATTCGTTAAAGAATATTTACAAAAAGAAATAGAATTCCAAAGACTCAGGAAACAATATTCTTTATCTGCCTAAACTATATTGACTCATAGCATTTTATAAATTAAAATTAAGAAAGCATTGAGAGTGATATAACAATATGAATTCTAGATGCAAAGTGCTATGAGATTAGGATGTTACTGCAGGGTATAACGCACTTCAATTAAAATTAAATTTTTATTTGTTATAGTATTTTTTTTTTTCTTCATATATTTTTCGTTTAGTGTTTTATACGAGATATTTCACTTTTGCATGAAATTTTTATGATAACTGGCAAATAAAAAGATAGATAAACTATTTACAACTTTTACATATATAATTAAGAAAATATATAAAAAATAATTAGATATCTACTTCATCTACTCTCTTAATAAAATATTTACAATAAGAATAAAATATGGCTGCCATTTTATATTACAGTTATAAAAAAATTATGAAAGATAATAAAATTCCAAATTGCATGCATTTTAACATACAGTAGGTAAATTTCATCTTACATATTGTTATAGTGTAATGATTTGTTCTACGCATTAGTATTTATAAAAAAAAACAAATTACATTGAAATACACATTAAACTAAATAAATTTACTAGTATTTTTTCTTCTATTATAAATAAAATATGAAAAGTTGGAGCGATCGGCAACTTTTCTCATAACTCCTTTGGTAAGTTGCAATTTCTTTCGAGCCTCGCCATCTAACGTCACATTTTGTAAATATTTAGTGTCAAGCCGAAAAACGTTTATTATATGGGAGAATTCGAAAATTTAAACGGACAAGTTTAGTTAGTCGGAATGTGTTAAAAGTGACAAGAGTTCGGTGTAAATCCTAAAGACATTTGTCGTAAAAAAAGATAATTTCGTTATTAAAGATCACGAATTAGTCACTGGATTCCGGCGGGAGATACAATTGCATTGAGACACTTTTGAATATCTTTGTTCTTTGGTAATCGTTTGGGAGGGACCAAGAAACAGATTGTGGATTTTTTCTTTGAGAAATATCGTGTTGGATCAACACAAATCTTTAGAACATGGCGACACAAAATAGGTATATAATTATTTCTAACAATATAATTATAAAGAGGCTGACTAGAATAATAGTTCATGATTATATTTTGCTTTCTATTATCCATCATCTTCGTCGGTTAACCAATCTTTCTAATTTTTGTACTCTTTTCAACTAATCATTTTCACTGTTATTTGTAGCACAGGTAGTTTTTTTCTTTATATGATACATTTTGAATATAACTGATAAATACTTTCTATGTATATCTATAATCAGGATTATATTATATCGAGTATGCTACGTATTAGAAATTATTTTTTAATTATATAGTATTATAATGTCGGTATTTAACCTATAATGTAGAAAATTTTTATATAATAGAATTATTATACTGCATTAGTATACTTTAAAATTTCTAATAAAACTATTGTCCATTAACTATGTTCATTAAATTGATATTGAATTTTTAAGATTTTTATATATTTTCAGGAACGCACTTTGCTAGTCGTAAACCTGTACGTCCGCTAAGAATTTGAAAAATAGAAGTGTGCGATTAAACGTCACAACGGCTGAGCAAAAGTACTATTTACTATTGGAATTACATGACAATAAACGAGATACAATAAAAAAAACAAATAATTCATATGCAAATAATTTAAAAAAAATTAATTTAAAGTCGTAAAGAAGTGATATATATTAAAATATAAGATACATGGTTTTTCTGAAATTATTATTTGTTTTATAATTATTCAGAATATTGTTTATATTCTAAACTATTTTGGATTAACTTAATTATATTTCTCTATTTCATATTCATAGATTATATTATATTGTTATTTGCAAATGTTTAGAAATATATTATATAATGAAAAAACAATAGGAGAAAATATTTGAATATTAATAATAGTTGTACATGATTATTTGTTAATGAATTTTATTTTTTAATTTAAATTTATTGCAAATTGATATATAATAATATTCATTTTATTTAGTATATCATAATACTTATTTTGTTAAAGAAAGAATATAAAAATCATATATATGTGTTCTATTAAAGAATATTTCCTCTAGATTTAAGTATTTTGTAGCATTTTATACATTTATTTTGACTATGTATCATACTATGTATCCACCACAAATAATGGTGCAGATAATGGGTGGCCAACAGGCAAATGGACAGTGTCCACCAGTTCAATCACACACAATGCACATTCATGGTGCAAGTGCATTCCATCAGGCAGAATATGCAAAATATCGCTCAGATGCTTGTTCTCAGAACAGACATCAAATGATACAGGTATATTATTATTTATATTATAAGTTTAAAAAGTTCAAAAATATCAATATATTTTATATTTTTTTAAAAAAATATCTTTGAATACAAGCAGTATTCTTGCAGACAGGATCTTATCCATTGGAGCTATTGCAATTGATGGGGGTTGAAATACCATCTCTACGGCATGTAGAGTATATGCAATCAAATAACAGCACACAAACAGGACACTGGCAAAGACGTATAAATATTTCAAACAATACACCTATTATACCTTCTCCACATCTTGCTTTTAGACCCAATGATAATAATTTAACAAGCAAAAAGTCAAACTGGTATAATAAATTAAGTAAAAGAACTTCTTTTCGAGATTCTTACGTAAATAACGAAAAATATAGCAGCGATAGTGGCTTTAGTTCACGATCTCCAACACCAAATAAACATCATATTGATAGTAGTCAAACAGAAAGCTCGGATGAACGAGATTCTGTAATTTCTTCAGTTGAACAAAGTATGAAGTAAGTGTTATTTATTTAAATAAATAAGGATAATTAAAAAGAATTTTAATAATATAATTTTTTAATACATTATAAAATCAAAAGATTATTGTGTTCTAGAAAGTCACACAAAATACATCCAAATAATGTTACAAACAATAGAATAATGCAATATGGTATAATTTCAAATAGTTCTACACATCAATATTATCAGAATCAACGATCTATTAATTGTTATCCTACTACCATGTCAACATCTAGAACTCAAATGCAAACTTATCAGAATAAAAGAAGGTATCATTCAGGTATGTTCACAATAATGATTGCATGCTAATTCATCTATTATTTACTTCAGAAACAAATTATAATTTTAGGAAGGAATAGTCCACCTCCTCAAAGATTACCTAGAAATAAAAGATATATGGGATTATTATCGCCTAATTATCACATGTTTCCCAGATATGGAATTGCTCCAGATCGATTCCTAGCTAGGTCACATTTAGTTGAGGTAACTCGTACACCAGATGATTTACTTAATGGATCAATTTGGGATAAACTTTCGAAAGATATTTGGTCGAAATTTATGTTAAATCAACAGACTGAGACTGTTTATAGGAACAAGATGATGCTTTGGAGATATCTTTATGTTTACATCAAGGTAATACATAATTTAAATATTTTGTATATATATGAATGAAATTGTAATATTTATTTTCAGACAGCATTTCCAAAATATGGGTTATTCTTGGTTGGTTCTACAATGAATGGTTTTGGATCAGATAATAGTGATGTTGACATGTGCCTTTTAGTAAGACATACAGAAATGGATCAAAGGAATGAAGCTATTGGACATTTAGAGCAAATATTGAAATGCCTTAAAAGATGTGGTACAATTTAAATATTAGTTTTACTGATTAATTAATTATAAAATTTCAAATTAATAAAATGAGATTTTTATGTTAACAGATTTTATAGAACAATTAGAACTTATACAAGCAAAAGTACCAATTCTAAAATTCCATGATTCGATACAAAATTTAGAAGTTGATTTAAATTGTAATAATGCTGTTGGAATTCGAAATACTCATCTTCTTTATTGTTATTCTCGAAGTAAAATGATTTTAATTAATAAAAAAAAAATATTTAAATTATGATAATTTATTTTACACAATTATTTTTTCGAATATTTTACAGTTGATTGGAGAGTGAGACCATTGGTACTTGTGGTTAAACTTTGGGCTCAATCTCAGGATATTAATGACGCCAAGAACATGACAATATCCAGTTATTCCTTAGTTCTTATGGTCATTCATTTTTTGCAGTGTATTTATCCAATCTACTTTTTACTTCATAATAGATATGTATTGTTTATTTATTTAAATATATTATTTTTCTTAGATGGTGTCAATCCACCGGTTTTACCTTGTTTACATTCCCTTTATGAAGGCAAATTCACACCACATACAGACATCCATTGCATAGATATCCAAGAAGAACTGGATATTCCAGTTTCCGTACTTCGGCCTAAGAATCGTCAGTCGTTAGGAGAATTGTTCATCGAATTTTTTCGGTATTATGTCATGTTCGAGTGAGTAGAAAAAAAAAATATTAAGATATATTTCAATGAGTAATGTTATACTAAATAAAAATTAATTAGTTTCAATCAGTATGCGATATCAGTCCGTTTGGCTAATAAAATACCAATAGAAGAATGCCGAAGAGCACGATCTTATAAAAATGATCCTCATCAGTGGAAATATTTATGTATTGAAGGTAAATAAAAAGATTAGGAATCATTAAAGAAAAAAATAATGTTTTATATTCATTAAATATTTACATTTATTTGCAGAACCTTTTGATCTAACTAACACTGCTAGATCAGTTTACGATCCAGATGTTTTTGCAAGGATTAAATACGTATTTGATTGTACATACCAGAAATTGAAAGAACATCATGACCTAGCCAGGATATTCGTCAAGGTGGATTCTACTTCACCCTATACTATGACGTAATCACATTCATACAGGCTGGTACAGAAATATTCACATTATCTAGTATAATTTTATATTCGAAAAACGGTTTATTTTTGCAATTGGCCTCTTCCAATGTAATTCGAGGCAATTCGACTGATATTACTTACGGTATGAGATAAAATAGTACAATGAGGTAATTTTCTACGCTTATCTTGAGCTAATATGCTCGTATCTTGTGATAATAGCCTGCACTTTCGTGCAATGGCTCATTCGTTGCGTTTAGAAACTCGAGTTTTTCTCTCGTCTCGTTTTGTTTCAGTTTTATTTCCTTTTTATAAACATATAAAACTACTCGCTGCAAGAATTTATATTTATATGAAAAAAAAGAAATAATTATAACATAAAAGTGCAATAGCATTTGTGACTTGAAAATGGTGCTAAATCAAATCTAACATTCGATGATAACAATTATACATGAATGAAATACTTTTATATAAAAATATTCCTATCCTATTTAGAATTTTTTTTAAGTTCATTTTGATATATAACTTTATAAAGTTTTTCAAAATTTTCAAATACGAAAATACAGTGCCTTACACTTATCGGCTTATAATTTATTCGATAAGTAGTTTCTCATTAATCTAAAAATTATCGTAAAAAATTTCATATTTTTTTTTGACAATTAGCTAAAAAAAATTATATATTTAAAATTAAAAAAATGACATGTCATCGAAAATTTTCTTTAGTATTTAAAATATTCAAATATGAAATAAAAAAAAAGTACTTATTATTAATTTAAAAAATGTAGCGAATATAAATTTAGAAAAGCCTAAAAAAAAATATATCTCTTTGAGATAACGAAAAAAAATTAAAAAGTAAAAAAGATAAAAAATTGTTGTTCGAAAAAAAACAAAAATTAGAAATTGAAAAAAGATATTAATAATATTTACACTAAACTATCGAAAACATATAAAAATCAATTCATCTAGCATACCATATAATTATATATTGAAAATCTTGCAAGTAGACTGAACTATTTAATTATTCATTTTATCAAATTTTCAATAGTTTTCTTTTTCTTAAAATGGACACATTCTGTCATTAAAGTTCCTATTTTCATTAAAAGAATTAAAAATCCTTACTTCCGGTTCTAGTCTTCTTTTGATTAGTCTTTCGTATGAAAAATGCGTGAAATAATATATATGAGGTATTTAAAATATCGTATAGTAAAAACATAAGGCTGTGTTAACAGTATAAAACATATAAACTACAATTTTTGCGCCTGTGCAGACAATTAAAGTACATATTATTTATAAATCAAACGTAAAATTAATAATTTCTTTAAAAAAAAAAACAATTTTTTTCATCAAGTATTTTTTTTTTGTAAGTATAAATAATTTAAAAAATTTCCAGGTAAATGTTAACTATGTACATCGTATTTTGACAGGCCTAATATATTTTTATAAATAATTATTTACTTATTTTTGTAACAGATATAAAGAAATTAAATATTGTCTTCCTTCGCTAAATTAAAAAATTCATGATCTTTCTGATTTTGTCAATTATACGCACATGTTATATGCTAATTATACGCTAAATTTTAAGGCGATATCATCAAATTTTTGTAATTTCGATTTTGTTGTTAAATAAAAACTATTTATATACATAACATTTGAATATTATATTATCATTAAATTTTATTGCAGAATTAATATTCTAGAAAAAAGATAAATTACGTTAGATTTTGCAGGTTAGAAACAAACGAAAATTGTTTTTCCAAATTAAATTTATTCATTTTTTAAAGTTCACAATGAATTTTCATATTATATTCTGCAGTTAGCGGTGCGCTGTTGGTCGGAAAGGAGAAAAGAAAACAATT